CAATACACATTTCAATGTTTAATGCTGTAAATAAACATGTAAAAAGAAGTGCGTAAATAAATCCAAAATTGTAACCCTAACCCTGGGTCGTCAGTGCATATGTGTAAGCATAGCGTGTATGATTCTGATTCGACTACCCAGTCACTGCACTTAAAAACAGCATGCATCCGTCTTTTCTGTCTTTTCACTGATTGCGATGTAACGTTATATATTTACTACTTTAAAAAGTAACAGTGGCAGTAAAACCTTTTCTCAGACTGTGATGGTTAAACTTTGCAGTCAATCCACATTTCACCTGCATGTCGAACCATGCGGAGGGAGGTTATTTTCATGACAAAAGAAATAACGTTTCAAAACATCCCCCCTCTGTTTTCTCACAAATCGCGCCCTGTTTATAGCCTCATAAACAGATAAAATGGACTAAAAGAGGATCCATATGATGATTTGTAAGTACGCGGGTGGCTCAGTCTGAGAGAGAGAGAGGGGAGAGAGAGGCAGAGGGAAAGAAGTGTGTGAGTAGCCATTTCCTGTGAGCTAACTATTAATAATTACATTGTTAGTTTTAAATTAAACTTACAAAGGAAAGTTTTCAATTCAAGTTTTTATTTCATGAAAAATTCCACAAAAAAAACAATTGCTGTAGTTATTACATTACTACACCACCATTACATTTTTCCTGTCGCGCACCCCGTAGAGGCAGCTCACGCATCCCCAGGGGTGTGCGCACCACACTTTGGGAATCGCTGATCTAGACTCTATGCCACATTGGCATATTGATTCAGTGTGAAAATGTAACTTCTGCTGAGGCAAGGAGGTAATGATTTCTGTTTTGTTAAGTTAGAAACAGTTAGTAGTTGGGAGCCCACTCCTGCCAGGGAAATAAAAAAAACTTGAATAATTTGCATTAACAGAAAAAAAAAATATTGATATGTTTTGTTTTTATTACCTTAAAATGAGCCATTTCTATCTACATACACCGCGGGTCCCCTTACATGTTTCTACAGTAGTCCAAATGGACAAACGGCTCTACAGAGCGCGTTTCGTCACTACGCTGAATTAGGGCTGGACAATTAATTGAAAAATAATTGAAACCGAAATTCAGAGCCTCTACCTGACATAATTTCCCCATATTGGTTATTTCGGTTATTTAATCTTGGTAATATTGTGTGTGTTCATGTAGCCCACTTTCCCCTTGAAACATTGTGTGTAGTCATGTGACGCCACCCATCCAGTCCTGCTCAGCCTTCAGACCAGAGTCTGAAGCACAGGGAGATGTTTGCTAGCGCTAACCGCCTTCACTTTCCAGCAGTGGTGGAAACAACAGACAGACTTTTAATAACGGAGACAATGACAACTTATTACTCGCTCGCTTTCAGCGTCACTTTCTGCCGCTCGCTCTCTCACATTTGCAAGGGCGTAAATTTCATCTAACAGTTGGGGGGGGGCATAAACATAAAATTTCTCAAGCTACATTTTTGAAGGGGACACAAATAATACAGCCAAATTTGTATAGGATATATATATATATATTGTATAGGATACGTGTACACAGAGGAAAGCCTTACTACTATTATTACTGTATTACGTCCTGTATGGTCAAAAACTGTGTAGTTCCATGGGCTGCTTAACCTAGTCCGCTTAAGGAGCGGTGACGTCATCACCTGAATACTTAATGGAGCATTACGTGTATCAATATGGCTCTTACAACCTTATTAATTAACATTAAGATAATAGATCTGTGAAATCTGTAAATAAATAAACCCAGCTTTAAAGGTTAAGCATATTTACAGTACAAACCTTGTCAGTGAACTATGAGGGCTAAAAAACAATTAAAAAAAAAAATTAAAAACGAAAGAATTGTTCAATTATTCTAATCGAGGTGACATACGTTCACGTACCAAGAAGAAGTAGTAGTTGTCTTCTGGTTTATTAGAAGTAAGAAGAGAAGTGAAATTTGGACAAATCACACGTATTATTTACTACAAGAGCTGACAGAGCATGTCGGCCACCTATGCATTTGGAAAGGGAGAGGTGAGTGGTGAGCAGTTGGTTGCAATCAGGTTGCAATCTGCAACCCTCACCACTAGATTCCACTAAAACTTACATGCTGAACCTTTAAAGCAACATTATGTGTTGCACCCCTACCGTTTGACAGTGTAATTCCCCACTATCGTAAATTAGGACAGCTGTACATGCATTTGTTATGATTAAATTAGATCAAAAACTAGCAAGTTGCCAATTTCCTAAGACAGCCAAACATCAAACTAGTGCGACAACACAAGACATAACAATATTACTTTGTAGTCCAACTAAAAGAATGTCAGCTCGATGTCTGTCTTGCAACCTTTTATTTCATAAAATTCTCGCCAACTTCCGGCAGCCTCTTGCTTGGTCAGTCTATTTTTCTCTCTTTGCTTTTTTTGTCAAACTCCTCTTCTGTCTATTCGGCTGTGCTATTGGCTAACGTTAAATCTATAGAGGTTGCTGAGCCCAGTGATGTTGCCTGCGCATAATGTTGACACAAGTCACAGCAAGCTAGCTAATTTCTGTTATTACTTACTAGTCCAACAGCTCAGCATCTGTCCAGCATCCTTTCAGCCCTTTTAGCTCACGCCGACAGCTGTCCAATATTTACTCCTGTCCAGTCGCTCTTTCTCTTCCTCACTTCGTCACTTCGATGTCACCTCTGACAACTTCTTCTTCGGTCTCTTCGCAGCCTCCGCCATGATATCTACACTGCCCGGGATTTCAATGATACGTAGCACAGTAGCTAGCGCAACGAGCCAAAAGTGGCAATGACACTTCTGACAGAGACTTAGTTCACTCTATTACAAGTCAGTGTACCATCAAAGTGATTTTGAAGCTGTTACGATAATACTACTACTATTACTACTACCACTAATAATAATAATAATAATAATGTTGCTTTAAATGTCTCTAATAATGACAGTCAGAATTACAATGTAGTATCTCATTATTAGAAACTGACCAATATATATTCATGACCAAAACTATTAGCTGGTTGTACCTTATTACATATGTTTGCATGGATAAATGTGTGGGCTAATAAGTAATAAGAAATTGTCGTGCAGAAAGCTGTTGACCAGTTTGGCCTCCAGGGAGCACTGACAAGTTTATTTTTCAAAATGTCCTGCTCAGAGTGTATCTTCTTAATTATAATAACCAAATTTGATGGATCCTTATCAGACTTGTGTGTTTATGTTGTGTGTGAATGTTAATGAATGTAAAGATACATACACCACTCTCATCTATACTTCGGAGGTTTTATTTTTATTCCTTAACTACCAGTTTTTTTTATTTCCCTGCATTAATAGTCTTCTGTTTACACATCTGATGAAAAAAGTCAGCTTGGACTCTCCCCTTAGAAATGTTTTTAACGTATGTTAGAATATGTGTTAGTATTTCGTAAGGCTGGAATTAATGATTATTTTAATTTCTCATCATTTTCTCAATTAATCGATTAGTTGTTTGGTCTATAAAACGACAGAAAATTGTGAAAATGTTGATCAGCGTTTCCCAAAGGTCAAGATAATGTCTTTAAATGTCTTGTTTTTTTTCCACAGCCCAAAGAATTTCCATTTACTTTGATAGAGGAGTTAAGAAACCAGAACATTTTCACATTTAAGCTGGAATCATATAATATTGAAATTTTTTGCTTAAAAAATAGCTTGAAACAATTATCAAAATATTTGGTGATTAATTTAGTAGTTGAAAACTTAACCGATTAATTGTTGCAGCTCTGGTATTTTGTAAGAAGGATTCGCAAATCTGAAACACAAACACTGCCTCACATTACTTACACCAATTTTCAGATTGACGTCCATGGAGCTAACCCAAATTCATGATCTTATAATCCAACTATTCAGTCTGTCTAAAAAAGAAAAAAGGGGGACACATGGTCTGGATGGTGGTGACATCAGCCCTGAGACGTCTTCTGATTGGCTTATTCATATTGACTGCACGCCTTGACAGACAAATAGTGGTGCAGCCTCTGGTGCCAAAAGCACACACATTATTTATCCTGAGTTTTTGGAAGCAGATTGCTGAAGTGTGTGATGATCACAGTGGTGTTGGGACCAAATGCATGTAATACTGTGTTTTATATCCATTATCTGACAAAACAGACCACATCATTGTTTAAAAATGCTGTAAATATTAAGAAGTCAGCTGCTTTATTGGCTTAATATTCCATATTATATATCCTCTAAATTATGTATCTGTATAGGTTTCTTGTTAAAAAAAACTCTGTTGGCCTTATTTCTGCTGTATGTACCTGTCAAACAATTTTTTGGACCATCCATAAATGTTCCCAAATCTGAGTCGCCTGAGAAACAAACAACAGAGAAAGAACACAGCAGGCGGCAAGAAAACAAATCTACACTCATACATTCATTGTCCAGGTTCACATTAAGCAGAACGGATATCCTGCAAACACCAACAGGCAGAAATACAGATTTGTGAAAACATTACATATGAGACATGCTGCACCGGAAAGAGCTGAGAAGCCTTTTGCATCAGACACACAGCCTCCTCTCAGCCTCTGTGAGTCTGTTTCTCTAAACCGTTGACCTTTGCAAATGAGCACGCTGCATCATTGTGAGAATTGGTGTTTCTGGGCGGTGCAAAGTGGAGTAGAGCACATCAGAGCGCAGGATATCTGAGCACAGCAGAGCGCAGAGAGGCAGGCACATCCGCCGCTGGAGGGATCAAATCTGTACCATCTGACGCTCAAGGATTTATGGGTTTAGTCAAAATTGCTTTTCCCACTGTGGAGATTAAGCACCGTAGGATGTTTTTCCACTCAGGCCGTATAGAATAGCCCAGTGTAGCTGCTGCCGTTATTTGCAGTTTTCCTCCCTCTTATCAGCTCCGGCTCTGGAGAAGGGAATGTCTCAGGAAGGCAGAGTGCTCCGAACCCTGGAGGGGAGTAGATTCTGACTGACAGGAGAGGTCCGTCCTCTGGGGAATGTGAACCATGCAGGTGGATGCTGTTCTTGTGCTCTTCTGTGTTTGGCTCGCGGGTGCAGCTGGGAAGATGGCCCTGTCGAGGGGTCACAAGCTGGAGACATACAAACAGAGCAGGTAATGTCAAAGGAGTCACGGACATATCAAAGAATACATGTTTTTAATTTCTCAACGGGATGTGAGACAGTTTTAAATTAAGCTTTTAATGCAAAATTTTCCCATAAGGGCTTCAATATGTTATATGCATATATGTATATATATGTGTGTGTATATATGTGTGTATATATATATATATATATATATATATATATATATATATATCTTTGTGGTTTACACAATGTTGTCCAGTGTTTCCTGTGTCACCTGTACTGCTCCCTCCCCCTCTAAAACCAGACTTATTCAGACAGCAGATTGGAGACGAGAGAGAGAGGGAGACCTAAATCCCCACATCTATTTATGTACTACTGTTGAATGCTGTGTACTCCTGCCCCACAACTGCCGCAGGCAGTTAATGACTGTTTTCCCTACCGGCAGCAGTTGTAGTCAATGTCATTTTCAGGTGATTATTTAGGCTAATTGCTGCCTCGTTAATGCATCCATTGGATTAAATGTTTTAGTCTGGACTGAACTAGATCAGGGAATCGTTAAAGTGTCCTCAATTCTACATATTATTGATTGAATTGGCTGTGACATTAGAGGTGATTTAAATAGAAATGATGTGTTAGAATTTTAGATGTTTTATGTTTTAAGATGTGTGATTTAAATTCAATTTGTACATAGGACACTGCTGATTACTTTAAATCATTTTGTTAATTTTGAGCACATAATGGAGAATAAAGTGGAGGCAGTGTGGGATCACTTGAATGAATTCATCGAAATCCTGTTAGGTATACTTGAGAAGCTGAATGTTTACCTGCACAGCAAATCAGTCAGAAGAATAATAGATTTTGAGAGAGTTATATTCAATACTTGTGAATACAAAGTGGGACTGAGAGTGACAATTATTTTCACAAATGTTGAATCTAATTTCTTGATTCATTGCTTGGTTTTCGAAAATGTATGCAAATAGCTAAAAAATATAAAATCACAAGTTCCCGGAGCAAGGGGTGACAGCTTACACTGCCTTGTTTAGTCCTACCAACAGTCCAAAACCCCAAAGATATTCAGTTTACGATCATATAAGAAAAGCAGTGAATATTCACATTTAAGGAGCTAGGGTTTGCCAATTTTGCTTAAAAATCAAAAAAGTTATATTAATTTTCTGTCAATTGACTAATCATTTCAACTCTAATAAGAATATTAGATGTTTTATTACTGCTATCATCTCTTGTAGTGGAAGAAATGTGACTTAAACACTACAAAATAAGCATCATAGTTTTTGATTAGAAATGCAAATGTGACAATTATTTCAGTAAATCAGCTACATTTGGAGCATATATTGCAACATAAAAAAACTACTCTGTAAGGTATTTAAAAAGATGCATGCTCATAGAATTCATTTAAAAATACTATTTTGTCCAAAATTAATTGAACACCTTGGCTTTGAACACCCACGAGAGCAATACCAGATCTATGAGGAGAGAAAAAACGCATGCCAGGGCTACAACTAATGATTATTTTCTGTTTATTGTTTAGTCGATGTCAGAAATTGTGGAAATTGTGATGGGTATTTTCTAAAGCCCAAATGTCTTGTTTTATCTGACCAATAGTCCAACACCCAAAGTCAATTTACTATCACATAAGACAAAGAAATGCAGTGATCGACTAATTGATTAATCGACTATCTTATCGACTATATTAATCAGCTGTAGTACTAAATGAACACCTTTTAGATGGGTCTAGACAGCACTGCAATCAACACTTCACTAGGAAAAGTCCAAATTAATATGTGAATATTAGCTTTCATGTGACACAGAAAATAAGGAGAAAAAATACACATTACTTTCTAGACCTGTGAAGATTCAACTCTTTCCCAGCATTTTATATCCACAAATGCACCTATTCTCTTGTAGAAATAATGGCAAAGAGTTCATCTATAGCTTGAGGCCCTCAAGTGAAAAACTTGCATTAATCTCTTGTGAAGATGATAATATTTTCCCAAGCAGGCAGGGCTATGCGCCTCATAATGCTATCAGCGTTGACTGATTTGCATCCACTTAATATATTCAACAAACCCTGTCAAATTATAATCCCCCTGCCTTTAGATACATTATCACTTTCCATGCTATAAGTGTTGTTATTTATAGATCAGAGGATTCGTCAAACAGCAGTCTGTTCACAATTAAGGCTCTTCTGTTTGAGTGAAATAAATGTGTTTGACATGACGCACCTGCCATTTCTTATATATGACAAACTGTCAGAGTGCATGACAAGGCAGGAGTGATGTTACTGAAGAGGTATTTGTGTTAAACAATGCGAGGTTAAAGCTGTCTTTTTAAATCTAAACAATCCGGCATGAAATTACTGTCACTGAAAGTGATCATCGCAGCCCTAAGGTGGTTAAGATGATCATTAAGTATAAGAGGAGCACAATTGTAATCGTCTGTGGAAAATCTTCAGAAGACAGAACGCACAAGTGGCTCAAAGCTGCACTGTAATCTCTTTACACCAGTCGCCATGTTATCAAATCTGTGCCTCACTGCTTTTTGTTTTTTTCTCCCCAACTAGTTAAAAGTCCTCTCACAGTCTTCTCTCTGCTGACACACAGTGTCTGAGAATACAAATCAAATGTAAATCTTCTTCCTCTTTTTTTGTGGGGAAGGGAGGAATCTCAGTGTACTTATGCAGAAGTCAAACTCTTCTCCCTGTTTCTCATCACTCCAGCCCTCCACTCTTGTGTGTGTGAAATTTCAAAAGCGGCTGGATTCTGCCGGCGTGGGTTGTGGGTGTTTTCACTATATTAGATAGAATTTTTTTTGCTTCCTTCAGGAGGAAGAGCGTAGAGAGGGGGGTTTGTGTAGGACAGCAGAGTCACACGAAAAAAAAACCAACTGAGGAAAAAACATTTTGATTATTTTGAGCAGTCACTTCATTTTTGGGTTACAAAAGCCATACACTTTTATTAAAATTAATCACCCTGCTTGTTTATCCACACTTACACAGAAAAATCAAAAGCATAAAAACTGTAAAAGTAACTCATCTAAATGAAAATATCTACATTAGCATGGGTACATAGCTTACTGCTGTACAAAGCCAAAATGCAGTAACTAGCTAGCTAGATATTTAGGCTTGTCAAAACTTAACTTGACTTGTTGATTTTTATTTTGCCATATAACTTTTTTACAACAGAGAAATGTGTAATTGAAATATAAACAGAATGTTTAATTAGCAGTTACAAGAACACAGCTACAGGTCAAATTAAAATGTCAACAACATAGCTAAAGCAAGAGCGCCAAATCAAGCTAGCTGTTGTGATAGCCACACCCACGGCTAACCCTGACTAAAGCTAAATTTACTTATTTTTCCCCACCCACCATTTTGTGTAGTTAAAATCTATGAATTTTGATTAACTAAGATCTACTTTTAAATCACATATTTAAATGTAATGAAAATTGTAAATCCATTTTTATATTAATTTACTAGTAATGACTAACAAATGGTCAATGGAAAGCATTTAGTGTTTTGCCTTTGTCATATTTCCTGAAGGTCTAGTAAATGATTTTTGTTTTAAAGGAAGTCTAAAGTGAAGGTTCATGGCTGCAGAACAAAAACAGCGTTGGGCCACACATAGCAGAGCAGTGTGCAGACAGGCAGCGGTCTGCTGTGTGGCGTAAGCAGGGTAGAGAGTGGGATTGGAGATGCATTTCTGCCAAGAGGATTAGGAACCAGCTGCTGGATGGATGCAGACGGGTAGCACCCATTGGCCATCATAACACTGCAGCTTGCACACACAAAGACCCTCTTCTTATTGTTTCATTTTGATCTTGTGTTTTTTTCAAGCTCTTCACCCCCAACCCCCTTTCCTCTGTGGTATTTCCTTAATGCATGTCTATGGCTGTCACAGGGATTTGGCCCTGTCTGTTGCAGCATGCTTTATTCTAATAATCCATTTTAGGTTTTTGGAATCTCTTCTTACTTACACCCCCCCCCCCCCCCCCCCCCAATCTCGCTGCTCAGAGGATGCCTAAAAGAAAAGTGCACAGAGGAAGCCGTCTTGAAAAGTGACACCAGAGAAGAGCTGGGTCTCTATACTGGATGTGATGACGAAATGCCCTTTTGCCCTGTGTGCGATTTGTAGATAAATGTGTGATGTAACAGGATGTTAGTGAGAAGTGAGAAGCATCAAAACAAAAAATTGTTCCTACTATAAACCTATGTAGATTTAGGCTTGAAACTGACATACTTTCTTTCAAAATTAAAGCTGTGGCGAACAGTTATTTTCATTATCCATTAATCTGCAGGTTTTTTTCTTTTTTTCTCTATTGAATCGCACAAAATGGCAAACAATGCTTAATTATAATTAATTTCAAACCAAGATATCCAGTTTACCACCACACATAATATGGAAAAGCATCAAATCTGTAAATTTAAGAAGATGCATCCAGCAATTTTTGCTTCAAAAATTACTTAACGATTGATTCTCAGAATAGTTGATTATTTTTCTGTTGATCAACTAAATTACTAAAATTATAATTGTGTTAGCTATAATCAAAATATATAAAATTGATTTAGTGCTGCAACCAACAATTATTTTTTATTATCAGTTCACTGGCCAATTCTTTTCTTGATTAACTGATTAATAATTTTGTCAATTAAATAGTCAGAAAATAGGGAAAATGGCCTATTATAATTTCCCACAGTCCATGGTGATGCCTTCAAAGGCTTTTGAAATGATTTTTGCTCAAGAAATCGATTCATTGACTCATTATTGCAGTATTACTAACTAACTTAACTGAAAATGTAACCTTGTAAAGAAAAAGACACCTTTATTTTGAATGTTATTTTGAATGTTGCATTTTAGACGTAAAACAGAAGAAAACAATAAAAGCTCAGTAATCTCAGCTTCTCTGAATTATGTTGTGCTGCTGCCATATGTTCTTATAATTGTTTTTTATTACTGTTTGTTAACTATCAGGTCGCGAAGAGAGACCAGAATGGAAGGAGGTGTAGGCCACAAATCCGGAGGGTGAGTTTTATATATCTTTAATTAAAACATTATCAATAGCCAATCTTTTGCTAATTCATTGACATTAAAGACAACAAACTACAAATCCCCGAAGGCTCATTGTGACCACGTGTCTCCCTTTTCTGTTGTTTGGCAGCCCAATTTACAAACGAAGTCCAGACATGACAAAATCTCCCATGACAAAATCTGAGCAGCTCCTGAGAATAGACGACCATGATTTCACCATGAGGCCAGCGTTTGGAGGTCAGAAAATGGTTGTTACTTTATTTTTGAGTAAAAGTGGGCGCATGATTGCAACTTAGTCAGGTTGCTGTAGAGGCATCAGGCTCAGTCATCAAGTGTAGCTGGGTAAGATCTGCGCAGTGGTCATTGGTTTGGGCCAAACAATCCTATAAGCATTAAGCTCTTGGAGATCTTAATTACACCATCTATGCAAGCTGTGCTGGAGTTTTCAATAGAAGCTCAGTTATTTGCACCATAAGAGTGTTACTACATGTCTGTAACATTACTGTATATTAGAGGGATTTGATGTCAGCTTTTTGGACTGTAGGATTATCCTGCGATAAAGGCACACATGCTTTTGTTTTTACTAAAATATAGTTTTGGAATATATATTCCTAATCTTTTTAGCTGTCTTTATCTTTTTATTTCTCTTATAAGGCAAACGCGAACACTGTGTTTAACAAAAAAAAGTCAGCCACGAGGGCTTTTGAAGAGGAAACACATGCTGTTTTTATCAGACCACAACTACTTTTAATTATACAACAATCTGCAGCTGAAAATGCAACCAAGTGACCCTTGCAGAATCCTTTTTCTGCATCCGATTTCCACCATCAAGTGCGTCTCAGCTGGAAGTGGAAAAGAGAGCTGGATTTCATCCACTGCTGCATCAACTTTGATCCATTATTGTGACCTAATTGCATTTGTGTACTATTGGAGGATGATGATGCAGAGTAGAAAGGCTGAAATAGGTCAAAAGTAGAATCCCAGCCAGGCGGACGCAGGCGAGGCAAAAGCAGTTGCTCTGTATTTGTGATTCATTGTTCTTTTTGGAAACGTGATTTCCACAACAAACAGTCTCTGTAATGATCATGCTGACTGCAGAGAAGCATTCTCAACAAGCTTCTATGTTGAAGAATAACACCTCTGCGTTTGTTATGCATAACTGACACGAGTCTTTTATTTTTTTTTAGGTCCTCCAATACCTGTTGGAGTAGATGTTCAGGTTGAAAGTCTGGACACCATCTCCGAGGTGGACATGGTAAGTATGAAACAGCTTTCTGGTAAACTTTTTAAAATGACGTACAACATAAATGCCAGTGGTAGAAAGTAACTAAGTACAATGACTCAAGTACCATACTTAAGTAAAGTACTAGTAGCTCAAAACTGTATTTGAGTATTTCCATTTTCTGCTACTTTACACTTCTATTCGACTACTTTTCAGAGGGAAATATTGTACTTTTCAATTCACTTCATTCATCTGACAGCGATTGTTATTAAGATTTGTAAGATATTACATCCAAGATCATGTATATTGTTAAAGGTTAAACCAGTTTCTATGAGTTAATTTGTTTGCTTCCATCCAATATTTTTACAAAAACAGAAAAAGATTAGAGAGGTCTGAAAACTTTATTAATTTTAATTCATTAATTAACTTTCCTCTCTCATTAATCATCTCAAAACCAAAGTCAGATTTCTCTTGTGACCCCTTTGAGGGCCACAAACCCAAGGTTGGAAACCACTGAATTAAACAACCCGACTGTATTTAAAGTACAAGGGGCCATTTTACAGCACAACCACTACTTTTACTTTGATACTTTTAAATACATATAGTTGATAATACTGCTGCACTTTTACTTATGTGGGATTTGGAATGCAGGATTTTTACTTGTAATGGAGTATTTTTACATCGTTGTGTTGGTGCTTTAAGTTAAGTTAAAGATCTGAGTACTTCCTCCATCACTGTGCAGCGTACTAGCTTCTTTTCTTCGTATAGGACTTTACCATGACACTGTACCTGCGTCACTACTGGAAGGACGAGCGGCTGTCTTTCCCAAGCACTAACAACCAGAGCATGACCTTTGACAGTCGCCTGGTGAAGAAGATTTGGGTTCCTGACATGTTCTTTGTCCACTCCAAGCGCTCTTTTATCCACGACACCACGACTGATAACGTCATGCTGAGGGTTTACCCTGACGGCAACGTCCTCTACAGTCTCAGGTAAAACACGTCAGCAGAAGCATGTTTTGTCTTAATTAAAGAGTTTATATATTGAAAAAATAAGACTTTTAAGGCAAAGTTGTTGGTCATTCATCACTGAAAAAGAATACAATTTATTTTCCGGTACTGTAAAAACAATCACAATACAAAACATCACAATACATTTTTTTTTCTTTTTTTTTTTTTTACAACTGACACAAAATGAAGCACATGAAAACACCAAAATACACCACACCATAAGAATCTTTTAATGATTTGAAAACTAAAAACTGAGAATTGCCAAGCACATAACACACAGCTTGTCTCTCTATTCCTTTTATTTGTTCTGACAGAAGCAGCCTTTGTTCAAAAAAATTGTGAATTTACCCTAAACCCTTGCTGTTACTTTAGGGAAATGAATTATAGTGTATGTTTTGCTTTGTGCCCGGCAGAGTCACTGTCACTGCCATGTGCAACATGGACCTCAGCCGCTTCCCTCTGGACACCCAAACCTGCTCACTGGAGATTGAGAGCTGTGAGTGGATTTATCAAAAAATATGAACAAATACTTCAGCAAGACAATAGCTTTTTTTCCCCCCACTGCTAACATGGAGATTTATCCATCCAACACTTTGGTCCAGAGCAATCATACAAACCTTAATAACTAGTGTCCAGTGGTTCACAGCTTTTAAGTCCTTGATTTTGATGAAAATTTCGAGTTCCTGTCATCAGGTCAGAGTTTCCTCTTGACCACCAGTTTGACATAGCATCTGAAAAAACGAATGTCTGCATTTCCATAACATCTGCTTTGATGTTCATGGTTCCTCTTTTTCATTTTCATTTTGGACACTATATGAGCTCTTCTCATGCGCTCTCCTCAGGCCAAAATGTCTAGTTTGCTCTCCAGATATTTGAAGTGAAATCTCAGATATATCACGCCATGAAAGCTTTTGAGCACATCAATGCTTCAAAGAGAATATGTTGCATTAATGTTAAGACCCTCTCCTCTAACATCACCCCCTTAGCTCCTCTACTAGTGAGGCTCAAAGACTTGGAAAATCGGTGGGTGTAATAGGGACAGCTAGTGGTGCTTTTAAATTGCAGTCATGTCTTGTTAGATTTTGTTCACATTAACATCTAGCATTGTTACTAAATCTGTCCCGATGTACTTAATTATACTTCTTTCCCCTCCAGATGCGTACACTGATGACGACCTGATGTTGTACTGGAAGAAAGGCAACGAATCTCTGAACACAGACGACAGAATATCTCTGTCCCAGTTCCTCATCCAGAAATTTCACACCACCACCAAGCTGGCTTTCTACAGCAGCACAGGTGCGGTAATCTACCCAGGCACTAATATATATACAGTAAACTGAAGTGATTATGCAAATGGACCAAATGTGGGCATCATGCATGTAATAACTAGATTACAATTGAATAGAACTTCAATGCATCTCATTTTCCTTTATAAGCCAACTAAAGGACAGAGTCTTCCTTACATGAAATTGGTGTCCCTTGAATGTCACACCAAGAAGAATGTACTAATATTTAATCCTTTCTGCAAAACGAACCGAATCAAACTACTGCCAACCACTTGTACACTGCTGGAGAGCCACTGCTGGAGAGCCACTGTGAAAGCGCTGCAGCCTTCTCATAACCACTTGTCACTTTCTAGCTCAGAAGAGCAACCTGAAGCACAAAAAGGATTTTGTGTGCTATCTCTCCCTGCCACAATAGCTGGGAACCTCTGCTTCGAGTGTTTTTACGGTGTATCAGCAGCTAACATATGACAATGTGCGTGTAACGGTGATATTTCTTCTTCCCAGGCTGGTACAATCGTTTGTACATCCACTTCACCCTGCGGCGCCACATTTTCTTCTTCCTGCTGCAGACCTACTTCCCTGCTACTCTGATGGTCATGCTGTCTTGGGTGTCCTTCTGGATTGACCGCAGGGCCGTCCCCGCCAGGGTGCCACTAGGTAGGATAGAGTTTCCTTCCCAGAGCACAACCTTAGCAAAGAAACTAGCTCTAAAGAAAGATTATTTAGTTTGAGAAATGGAGGCGTATTCCTTAAAAAAAAGGCAGGGAAGCAGGATAGTGCAGTGGTTCCCAACCTCTTGGGAAATATGTATTTGTTTTTCTTGCCGAGAATAGATGAGAAGAGTGATACCACTCTCACGGTAAATATGAAACTACAGCTTGAAGCCAATTATTTTAGCATAGCATAGTATAATGACTGTAAACGGGGGAAACAACTAGCCTGGCTCTGTCCAAAGGTAACAAAAAAATGCCTATAAAGCTCATTATTTAACATATCACAGGATGTCTTGCTTTGCCAGGCAATCTGCTGAGATTCCAGGAAATAGTATTGCACAAAAACCCTAAAACTAAAAATTGTCATTTTTTGTACAAATTAGTAAAAAACATGGAGGTGTTTGTAGGCAGATTTTTCCAAGAGGGTGGTTAGCTTAGCTTAGCATAAAGGGGACCCCCCCCACCCCCACCTCCCTTTGTTCAAGAATTAAACCTAAAAGACACTTGGTAGTGTAATTCTATTACCTTTGGAAAAAGCCATGCTAGCTGCTTCCCCCTGTTTCCAGTCATTATGCTAAGCTTAGCTATCCGGCTTCTGACTGTAGCTTCACATTTACCGTACAGCTATGTGAGTGGAATCAATTCCTCTAACTCTGGGCAAAAAAAGTGAAAAGTCAAGTTCATTTTTTAAAATAAAGAATAATGAGCTATGAGCAGTTTAATGGGCAATTTCCCTTCCCTGGTTGTATTTTTAGAAAAAACAAAAAAATGTTGGACTGAAGCAAAGATAAATAAGAAAGAAAAATAAGAGCAATAAATCCCATAGTAGAAATATGGTATATTATTATTGTCCTTAATCTTACATATTCTGATGTGCAGCCCTTTCTAGCATTTAGCATTTGGTTTTAGCTTCCCAACCCAGTGATACATTATTAATAACTCCAATGTGACTAAACTGTTTGTGTGTTTTTCTCCAGGCATCACCACAGTGCTGACCATGTCCACCATCATCACCGGGGTCAACGCCTCCATGCCACGGGTCTCCTACATCAAGGCAGTGGACATTTACCTCTGGGTCAGTTTTGTCTTTGTCTTCCTGTCGGTGATAGAGTATGCGGCGGTCAACTACCTCTCCACCGTACAGGAGAGGAAAGAGAGGAAACTGAGGGAGAGAGTAAGTGTTATTTCATGTGATTTTTCTCTATGGTTGTCTGTCGCCTGCAGTTAAAAATGCAGTTAACCCCTTTTAATGATTCACAGTGACAGTAATGGACAGTTTAACATTACAAAACCAGTGTAATAATCTCTCAGCTTTACTTCACTTATAAAAACAAAGGGTTTAATTATCAAATATTTAAACTTTTAAACTGGTCTGTCCTGAGCATGAGTGCAACATAGCCAAGCTAAATTTTTGGCCAAAATGTTCCAAAGGCGAGGGGCTTTCTTACCAAATACCAAAGCTACACAATATTGAGTTTAATTCTTGACCAGTAAATACAGCTTTATTTTTGTTGAGTGATGAAACTTCTGATCATTGGGGGAGTAAACAATTACTGTGTGAAACACTCATTCTTTAACTTTTTTTGTTTTGAAGTAAAAATAAGGAAGCAAATGTTTCTCTGATATTTAGCAGAAATGATTAATTAAAACTTAATTGAACTATGCAACAAATATGTTTTTTGTTTGATGCTGTTTTCTTCTATTTAACCCTCACAACACGGATTTGGAGCTGTGCAGAGGACATCATATTCTTTAGAGTTCTAATATTTTAACACTAGACCAAATGCAAATTTAAACGTGTTGCGTCGCGAGTGAAGATAAATCAATGTAGAAAAGTTAAAGATTCATTGTGTAATATTTAGGAGGAGCTATTGACAGAAATGCAATGTAATATCTATAACTATGGACGTTGCCATGTTGCGGCGCCATGTTTCTACAGTAGCCCAAACGGACAAACGGCTCTACAGAGCTCGTTATGTGACTATGTTGAATACACCGCATCACAAGACTTTGACTGAGCGCAGGACCTGCGCACCGCCCGGTGGGAAATCGCATCTCTCTTTGTCTTTACATTGAGTTTGTATGTAATCGCACCACACCCAATATTTTTAAGGTTTTAGTTGTACATTCTGCCATGCCTTGTACTTGGATTATTTTTCTACCTTTATAAAGTCAAAAATTTTGTCAATGTGCACATCCCAGACAGCCTCTTCTATTACTTCATGTCATTTGTTGACCACCATTACCAAAAATATCATAAACATTATCAACAATTATATTATACGTTCACATTTATGGAAATTTCCATTGCACTTGCAGTCTGGTAAAGTAGTGACCCACAGATGGAACAGTGGGTGGTAAAAGGTTAAAAGTCAAATAAAAATACTCAAATAGGTTTTTGAAAAACACTAAAATCAAACCCAAATTTACCATAAAGTTAATATAGTCTTAAAGCTCTCTACAGACTTATTTCAATTTCCTAAATGTTAAATGGTTCACTGTTGATAAAATTCTAGTTGTTGTGTGCTGTAATAGCTACAAATAAGAGACTTTCATGTTAAAAGTCAACACAAGTGTGACCTGATTTTATATGAAAATATCTTATACATTAAAACATTTTTAAACCGGTAGAAACATGAATTAATAATGTACGTGCATTTCCAATAAACAGATAAATATTTTCTAAATTGGCTCACTTGAAGCTCTCAGGGCTATGGCAAATTATTTCTGGGACTACAGCTTGTGTACTATATTGCTATTCTTCATCTGCCAAATGCTGCAGCATATGGAGCCAAATTGCCCACGTACCCCGAGGGAACATTTCCAGCACAAACATCCTTCTATAAATGTTTTATGCCAAAGTTATTTAAAGGCCCTGAGTGTGCAGAAAAAGATGATAAACACTTAAACTAATGTATTTATTTTGTGGTTTTAGTTTGTTTTACAGAAAGTAGCGTTTACAAAAAGCAGATTTCAAGGTGTCAAAGTGACTTTTTGTTTCCTTTTTTTTGGTCTCTCTAGTTGCCTTGTACATGTGGCATTGGCAACCCTGATGAGATGATGATCGATCCCCAGATCACTGGCTACGGGTCTATGGACATGAACACGACAGGTAATTATGGAATGCCAGAGAATGGCGGCCGCCAGGAGCGAATGTTGGCCCAAGTGGCACTGAATGACCCGCAGATCGCAGGCCAGGTGAAACAATCCAGAAGCTACGTGAACATTTGGATAGACACCCATGCCATAGACAAGTACTCGAGGGTTGTGTTTCCCGGAGCGTACATCCTCTTTAACATCATCTACTGGTCCATCTACTCATAACGCGGAACGCAGAAGTAGATCCTCTGTGAGAGTCGTCCATGATGAGACTCAAGGAGCTTGGCTCGTTTGTGAAAGAGCAGGAAAATAACATTGTATTTAATGCTTTTCAGACAGAGAAACTGCTCATAAGATGCTCGGGGACCACTGCGAGTAGACAAACAGGCCAGTCGTTGTTGGTTTTGTGACTCCATCAGATCTATGTGGTTTCATGTTGTAACTATAGTGCTGTTGGTGGAAAGACATTTTGATATTGTTGACGCCTGAGGACTCACTGCACAGAGAGATTCACAAACATGGACCTGTGTTATTGTGCAGTTTAAATCGGCTACATTTCAGTCCTCGATGAAGTGACTCTTTGACCACCTTTTCAATACACAGACAAATTCCTTTTCCTTTGCTTATGAACTAAACTTGACAATCAATGAAAAAAACAAAATATATTTTAAGTAACAGTTCAGCTTATTTGCCTTTGTCTGGTGTAAAGTTAGATGAGAAGATTGATACCACTCTCATATCTGTCCGTTAAATATAAAGCTACAGCCAGCAGCCAGTTAGCTTAGCACAAACAGTGTAAACAGGGGGAAACAGCTAGCCTGGTTTGCCAGAACTTCCAAAACTCAAGAATTAACATGTGATATCTTGTTTGTTTAATCTGTACCAAAACGGATGTGTAAAAACAATACTTTCAGGGTTTTTTTATGGGTTGGGTAAGTGCCAGGCTATTTCTTTGCTGGGAAAAGTAACTTCCTGGAGTCTGCGCGAGTTTCCAACTACTCGGAGGTAAGTAAAAGAAGCCAGAAGAGACGCCGTCTCGCTAGCCTTAGCATCAGCTAACTAGCGATTGAAAAGCCAAAAAAATAAATAAACAGACGCCTCAGAAATCATACTGAAAACACTTGGTTGGTTACAGTCATAGGCTAATATTATAGTTCAGTTTGTAGTTCTCGCTAGATTTTCAAAAATCTAAGTGAGAAAACTACTAAAAACTTTTAAAAACGTATATTTGTTTACAAATTCGGCTTGTTTGTCCGCCATCTTCACCAGTGTTCGAAAGCTACGCCGGCTGCGCTGCTTTATGGGTAATAGTCAGCATCAAGTCACCATTGATGCTTCCTTCAAAACTGGCCGTTACTGGGGCAGCCTGAAGGCATCTCAGGAGACAGGAAGAGATCGCTCGAGCCGTTTCAAACAGCACTCGATGCCTCGCTCTCCTGTTAGACACCTTCTGAGACAGCAGTTTAGCCCGTTTCGAGCACAGCCCCTGTTTCCAGTCTTTGTGCTAAGCTAAGCTAACTGTCTCCTGGCTGTGGCTTCATATTTACTGTACAGACATGAGAGTGGTATCACTCTTCCTATCCGACTCTTGACGAGAAAGCTTATAAGCGGCAATTTTTTTCAAAAATGTGTAACTATACCTTTAAAAACCTGATAACATTACGCTTCAAGTACTTTTGCAGCACGTTAACATGATTCAGTATATGTTACACTTTCTTGTGATCTTTGTATCGATGCAGTTATTTTGCTGTCAAGGTACTTACTGCATTGCATTTGTGTGATTTGAAGTTTTGTAAAAAAGGCAAAATAATGCACTCTATTAAAATCAAACATGTAAAAAATATGTAAATCCCAAACACTGATTATGATATTGACTTTGTCCTTATTTCTTCTTTTTTTGTTTTTAAAAAAAAATACAACTGAAACTCATCTCCTCTGTTTGGTGTTGTGAGGCTTTGAGGTTCACTGTGACCTGTTAGTTGCTAGTTTTATCGTCTTTTTCAGCTTAAAACGACTTTATACTTTATTAGGCAAAAGATATTTTAATAATTTCTTTTGGTGGTTCATGACAATTTAATGGCCAAACATACAGAAATTAAACTCTAGAAAAATATTATGTATGGGAAAATGTTTATTTATTTATTTTTTCTGAAAATATGAAAATGATTTGAGCCGAGCTTAGGTGCTGACCAACACAATCACAATACTGTACATTTTAAATCTCCTTTATGTAATACATTTAATTTGTACAAATGAAAATGGATTGAGATGCATGGCTCCTGAATATTGCTTCTGCAGACACCAATCAATAAAAATCAACTAAATACACACAAAACAGACTCTTCATTTGGTGACATCTTTCTGGTATGCCCTGTAAAGTCTTCATCCCAAATCCTATTTTCCTGCTTCTTCCTATACAGTATATTTAAACAGTGCTGCAGGATAAGCTTTCACAGTTATTTGACACTGGATTGCTACCAGCTACAGGGTCTCTCTTCTCTCTCTGGCACAGGTCTGATTGCTGATGATCATTCATATTAACTACATGTTCCATAATACCATTAACTGCTCACATGTGACATAAGGGATATCACATTATGCCTATTTTTAAAAAAACAATTTCTCTGATTTCTAGCAGGCAAAAGTGCGGATTATGCTGAAGAATTTTTCTATTTAAAAAAAAACTTTTGTTTTAATTATTTTAAATTTAAGTAATTTCCCAGAGGGTACAGTGACAATTCAAACTTTGTGCACCATCATCCTTCAAAAAAACATGAACAAAGGCATCACAGCAGCAGAAAGACATAAAAAGGAAAAATAACCTGATTTTCACTAGATCTGTGACCAATGTTTTAAAAAATTACATTACATTATAACTAGGATGATAAGCTTACACTTCTTAGTTTCCCATATGCCTTATTTATTATTTACTTAATCATCAATTTAATGCGCAAAGGTAACGTATTTCTGTTCCTGGCACCACAACACCTAAAAAAAGCAGGTACTCATGTTGGTATTGAATCTCGGCAAGAATAGTCGGTAAAACTAGTGTAGTGGGAATGAGTTTGTCAAACCCAGCAAAGACTGTCTATGAGATACTCAGCAGCTCTGTTGTCATAAATATTATTACCACACTGAAGTAGTTATATGGCTCTATTCTTCAAGGTTAACCATAGAAACTGTTGAATTGTGGTTTGCCAAAGTGGGCTCTTAAGTTCAAGGCAAACACAACCAATACTGACAGCTATAAAATGACCTAAAATTTAGTTTTTAAAGTGTCTGTTATTTTTTCAAGGACAATTCTATTCTATTCAATCAACTTTATTAATACAACTAGGGGCAATTGGTTAAGAGCAGCATGTTTGCAACAATACATAACACACAACATTCACAACATACAAGCAGCCAGTATGTGCACATTTGAAACCCCAAAAAAGGACCTACAGGGAGTTTAAAAGTCTGATTGCCGAAGGAATAAAAGATTTGGAGTGGCGTCTTGCACACAGGTAGTGCATGATGACGTCCAGAAGGCAACAGAGAGAATTCACCTGCCAGAGGAAAATACTTATTGCCTTCCAGACTATTTGTTGGTTATAGAAGGCATTAAGGTCTCTCTGTTTCACTCTGATGATTTTAGAACAGATCTTTACAATGTTGTTCAAACTGTTCCTGTCTTTAACTGTCAGACTGTGAAACCAACAGATAAAAGAAAAACTTAAAAGACTCTCAATAAAAGATAAAAAAATAAAAGATAAAAAATAAAGATAAAATCTACACAGGATGACCACCATGACAGAAAAGGAGTTTAGTTTGCGGAGAAGATAGAGGAGATTGTCCCCTCTTCACAATGGCGGTGGTGTTTCTATCAAATTCAAGATGGTCATCAAAAAGAGTGCCTAAGTATTTATATGGTGAGACATTTTCTACCAATGCACACTGATCAACATCACTGTCTATGTGCCAGTGTTAGCCAAAAGGCTAACTAATATTGTTTTCCTATAGTTTCTGTTTTAAAATCATTGTTTTTATGGAGCTGTTAAAGCTGTATCATTCTCTTCTAGTCATTTCTCCTGTTTCAGTTTGGCGAGGCTGAAGTCCTCTCTCACTTGCCTCAGCAGAACAGGGCAGCACACTACATCCACAGCTGTCATAGCCAGGGCTTTGGCTGTCCTCAGGGTGAACAACTGGGCCTTTTCAGCTCCTGGGGCAGGGAAAAAGAGTGGAGGAGGAATATAAAGTATTAAATAAAAACTAAACAGGCAAACCAGGTGACCTGGAAAGAGACGACGGCTGAAATCTGTCTGATCGTAGTGCAATCAATTTCATTATGAGAAACAATATCTGTTCCCAGTAGACACGTGCTACCGTACCTGCTGCTTCGGTGTAGTCCTCAGTGTGGTTTAACGCGTCAGTGCAGATGTAAAAGAAAGGGTGGATACCAGGGACGATGAATGATACGTTGCCAAAGTCTGTAGAACCTGCCAGGTAATTATAAAATCACTGTGAAACAACAATTCTTTGTTGTTTCAGTGAACAACAAAAAGAACACTAGATCACAGTTCTGCTGTTACACATTTTATGTAGTTTTTTTTTGTTGTTTTTTTACATTTCTTCTGCACAAACCAGGAAAAGACTGAAACAATAATTTCAACAAGTTTTCCATTATTTTTTTCATTTTCACCTACCAGAGAAGTTGGCTGGCTCCTCTGGAAACTGAATCCCCAAAGCTTTTCCATTACTTTCATATAGGCTAGCCAAAGTAGCATTAGGCAGAATGTTATAGTAGGCACCTGTGGGGTAGACTATCTCCACCTAAAGGAAACACAAGTATACCCTCATCCATAAAATATAGGCAAAAAAGCAGCCTGAAGATAATGGTGAATTATGCAACAGTAGCACAGCACTCAAAGAATAATTATAGGAATATGTTAAAGCGGGGTAATGTTATATAACAGCAACTCTAACATTGCATATTTCTCAGCTATATCAACATACATCATTTGTTCCTACAACGAGCACAGGCATCCAGCCAAGAGGGAGGCGAATGGAAGACAACATTTATAGGTAAGCTTACTTGGCAGCCTGTGGCAACAGCCGCTGCCCTGAAGCATGCCTCCGCTTTGGCCTTCAGGTCACAAAGATCCTTAACCAGCGGTGTGCGCAGATAAAACTCTAACTCCGAGTAGGCAGGGATGATGTTTGGCTTCACCCCTCCATGTTTGATGATGCCTGTAGAAAAATAACACAATTTGCACAATGGGGGGGGGGGAAGGGTTTCATCCATAACACTGAACAATTACACAATTCATATGAGGACAGATGCCACATGACATTTAGAGAGATAAAACATCCTTCTACATTTGAAAAGGCAGATGAAAATACATTTAATTGCCTGACATAGATACTTTTGCGGTCCTTGTTAAATGTGGTTGTAAAGACAGCACACAGACGTACAAGTTTGTACAAGCTATTAGACACATAGAGAGAGGTGCAGACCAGTTTGAGCTTCAATTCAAGTTCATCAAAATTAAAACACGTTGTTCAACTCCTCTCCAGCTCACCATGCTTTATTCACCAAACATTTCCAGCTATCTTGCGTTTTTCGGGGTTATATCACTATCACTCATCAGCAATGTTTCTTATAAATCACCACAGACACAACAATTAAAGGAGAAATATAAATGACTATGAATACAAAACAAAATACTCCAAACGTCTTTCCAGAAATTGTTCATACATAGTACTTAAATACCTTCTATCTCTTCATGTTTTTGGGAGATTTCACACCTTTATTGGAGAGCTGACAGGAAATATAGAACGTCATTCAACAAAAGTCCCCAGATGCCTTCACTCCAAAGCCACCAGGGCCTTACCCTGAACAAGCCCTGTAGTCAATCTGAACACATCCATTCCTTAACTAAATATATATTTTTTCCCCCCCAAAGTTGTGTGACATGTTCTAAGGTTGGTGCGATTTTTGAGCACTACTCGTGACTGCTTCAGGAACTAGTGATAATTAGGAATGTAACTATCAATTATTTTCTCTATAAATCGTTTAATCGTCCAGCCTATGACATGTTACAAAATAGTGAAAACAATTGGCATTCACCATTTCTCATAGCCCATGGTGATGCCATGTTTTGTCCAACAAACACTCCAAAACTTTAAATATTCAATTTACAGTCATATATGACAAAGATTCGTCACATTTGGGAACTTGAAATCAGATAAGTTGGAATTTTTGCCTAAAAATGACTTAAATGATTAATCAATTACCAAAAAAGTTGGCTCTCAATTTTCTGTTAATCTATTAATCGACTCATCGTTGCAGCTTTAATGATTACAAAATAAAAAGCTAGCAGTAATGCTGTCACAGATGATAAAACAATCTAACCACAAGGTCCATTTAGAAGCTGCTATAGAGCTTTTGATCACATCACACAATCTTCCTCAGCAGATGGAATTTGCCCAGCTGTCATGGACTTGTAGATATTCAATTTCCATTTTGATGATTTCTGAGCACATTAAGGACTCCTCCTCCTCCTCCTCCTCCTCCATGTCAGCTTAAAAGTAAACACACTTTGAGGTGAGATCGTTTTGGATGGACTTTGAAGCTCGGCTTATCTAAGTTTGTTCCTCTTCCTTACCATGAAGCCTCCACTCCGGTTTGAGCTGCTGTCTGAGTGCAGAGAGGTTGTTGTAGGCCAGCACAGCAGCATCCAGGGCATTCACCCCCTCCCAAGGGTATGCAGAAGCATGAGATGCCTTCCCGTGGTACTTCACTGATATCCTGTGAAAGATCAACACAGCGGGAAATGTAGAGGTTAGGGGGTTCATAAAAAGGGAGAAAGCAGAGTGGGCACAGAGAACAAGCTGTGAATTTATATATTTATACTGTGAACAGGAACTTGCTCATCGAGTGCGACGCAGGGCAGGAATGAAGCATCTTGCTGAGCAGGGTGAGCCATGAAGACGAGGTCGATGTCAGCGAAGGCCCCCGCCTTGATCAGATCAAGCTTTCCTCCTATAGCCTCCTCTGCAGGAGTTCCCAGAACAGTTATCTGGCATAAAAAGTGTTCAATTCAGTCATTTGACATAATTATCAGCTGGTGAAAATTTATCCTCGAAACAGTGGTTTTAACTCAAGGTCCACAGCATTACGGTCTATCTTAGTGGGTGGAGTTTTCTTTCATCGTAACCAAAGGTGGACATATTTAAACAGAGACAGGGGTTACAAACTATCCCTCCCATGTTGGACTACATGTCATCGAGTAAATGAAGTACCGTCCCTTGGCCATCTCCATCACAACTGACACCAACGCTCCACAAAAAGCTTATAAGTCAACCTTGTGTTAGGATTATTTTTGTCATAAATGAATAAAATTTTGCCAAACTGTCTGTAAACACATAGAATACACAATAATCTTACATGTTTGACACACATTTTTTTTTCTCATAATCTAAAAGCACAATCAAAATATGTTTTAAACATATTTTAGCACAAATTCTTAATATACTTGTATATCATCACAAAAAAAAAAGAATGCGTTGATTGCTGTTGACTTTTCAGTGATAATTACTGGACGTGTTGATTGTGTGTATAGGTGTATAACAGTGAATATGTAATATGTTTTTCTTATTATGTTTTCAGATATGTTTCTTATTCCCTGCTGTCTTTGTATGTTTTATGGATGCAGCATGGGGCCGCATGTCCTACAATGAGGGAAAAGAAAGCAAATCTTATTTTCTTATTATATTATAGGCTATCAAATCTAATTTGAACAGGTTCTCTGGCTACTACATTTTATTGTGAAGGAACTGAGTCACATCTTGTAAATGTGTTGAGTCTGAATCATCAGGAGAGTTGACTGAACTGAAAGATTTATGGAGATTGATTTTGATTATCATATATCAAAATGTGTTGTCAGTCGGCTTTTAGAGTAACTCAAAAGTTTGACTTCTGGCTGTTCATTCTGAAGTAACAGTGCTACAGTTCCCTGGTTACCTTCACTGGGACAGGGAGTTCAGTCTGGTTTTCCAAAGCAGCTTTCAGCCCTACAGCAGCGGCAGCTCCCACCTCTGCTATCAGGTTGTGCCCGCACGCGTGCCCGATACCCGGCAGCGCGTCGTACTCGCACAGGAACCCCACGTTCAGCACCGGCTCGCCCTCCCCGCCACCGACCGGACCCCAGATGGCCCGGAATGCGGTCGGTAGCTTGTAGTGACTTTCGACCCTCCATGTCTGCTCCTGCGAGAAGAAGCGGACCAGCCTCTCATGCGCATGCGTCTCGTTTCCTGCGAGTTCAGGTCGGCTCCAAATGTCCCGACCCAAACTATGCAGATCGTCTTTACGTCTGTCTATGCACAGCTGGAGGGTGTCCTTCATCTGCTGTCGCTTCACCATGTGGTCTGACAGTCCTGAAGTTTCACTCAGACACGTAGGTATTGTGCGAAGATGTAGCCTACCACTGTGCTTTTTTTCCCTTTTTTTTCTTTTTTTTTTAATCTTAACTTTATTGCCAACAGAGAAATACAGTTCACATGGGACATAGAGAGGGATGCATAACAGTATCCAAATATATAAGATACAAATAATAATAATAAATAAAACTTTGCCAGGGGTAGCCTACATTACATAAAGAAAGAGGATCATATGTTGACAGTTGACAGCCTTTTTGTTGTTGGATTTAGAAATTAAATTTACAATAATTCACAACTTCATGGAGAAAAACCTACAAAGTTAGTTTTAATACTGAATTTGCATTTATGAATGCAGAATTTTTCCATTAGAATTAATATATTTATCATGAAGTACTTATTTTCTTTAGCCTATTTTGATTTAATTAAAAGCAAAATGCCACGTTCTCCCACATCAATGCAAAATCTCTATAAATATGATAAACTGGAATCTGCCGAAGCTTTGCAAAAAATGTTCTGGTGTGTAAACAATGCCAAAAGAGGTGTACAGGGTAACACCACCAGTAGAATTGTTTGAAATGTTTTTATATAAAATATTTCTGTTATTTCAAACAAGATACTTGTGAGGAGAGAAATTGTGTTTATAAGTCAGAGACCATGCTAACAGGACCTGCTTGTGGAATGTGGATAGTTTTACAGGAAGTTTGTCCACATTTTGATTACAGTTCAAAATAAAGTTCAAAACACTAAAGTGATAGACAATATCCATCCATCGTCAACTGCAGTTTCCCCTTCCTTTCTGTGTGGACTTTGCATGTTGTACCTGTGTCTGTGGGTGCTCCGGCTTCCTCCCACCATCCAAAGACCTGGTGTGGGCGTGACCAAAGGTGTGAGCGTATGTGTGGCCCTGCGATGGACTGGCGACCCTTGACCTCAGGCACAAGGGTGTACCCCACCTTGTGCCTGATGTCAGCTGGGATTGGCTCCAGCCCCCCTGCAACCCTGTACGCAGGTTAAGTGGTTGACAATGGATGGATGTTTATAGTGTAATTAACCTGTTTAATCCCAAATTTTTCATAGCAATTTCAGTACATGCATTTTACTCCTTAGAACTCCCTAACACACAAACTTTATGTCCTTTTTGATTTTATGTTGGTTAAGTTAATGAAATATTAGGTTTTATACTCGGTCACAATAGTGACCGGTGGGAAACAGCACAGTCAAAATTCACACAAATTCTTCAATTAGACCAAGTAAGTTAAAACAATAAAAAACAAACATTAAAGTACACATTTCCATTTCAAAAACATTCAGCATGTCAGAGCAGGCAGACATCAACTGTGCCTTAGAACAGTGGTTCTCAAACTGGGGTCCGGGGATCCCTAGGTGTCTTCAGCAAAAAGGGGAATAGTTTTTTTTTTTCCACTATAATTCCATCCATAAGTAACATAATTACTATTTTGGTCATGGGTTTCATACACTTTCTGTAATAAAACATATACCAATCCAAACCAATCAAACAGACAGTACCAATCAGTCTTTCAGCCCTCAAAGACCTGTGGGCCTTGCTTCATTGTAGACATCACGGTCATATGACCAAGACAATTGATGTGAGAAGAACCCTACTGAAAGTCACCAACTCATCCATGTTCAGATTGATTTGCACTATATAGGTATTTGACATAATTAATAATAATTATTTAATTAGCTGACACTTTTATCCAAAACTACTTTCAATTGCTATATATGTCAGAGGTCACACACCTCTGGAGCAACTAGACACTGGTTAAGTGTCTTGTAACACATTGGTGGATGTATCATATAGCGGAAAGATCTCACACCAAAGGCATGTGCCTTAGCCACTGCTCCGTCGCCACCCCACTATTGACATCTCAAACCAATTGGTTCTCATAAACATCTGCCTCATCCTCCAGATATTGCCATTCAATAGTCTACCTATCTGAGCCTTCACTATCACAGTCACGTTCAAATCCTACTTTTTCAAATGTAGGAATGACCATAATGCTGCACACAGCACTTGGGGGGTCTCGTATGTCTAGGAGGTCCAACACATCTGATAGTTTCAAAATGTATGAAAATAAACAGATGGTAACTAGGATCACAGCCAAAACCTGTTTTTTCAAACAACCACTTTGTTATACTATGGGTCACAAAAGACACAGTCACAAATGTGACCGGTGGGATTAAATGGGTTAAGTCCAAAACGTTGAGCCCAACAGATTCATAATTCTTCATAATCCCACTTTTTTTATATAATGTGTATACGATTTTACCAGATGAAGTCAAAAAGCTTGCCATCAATATTTTTACAGATTTTACTCCAGGTGTAAAGAGAGAGCTGCGTATGTGAGCAGAGATATCCCTACAGCCTGGGTAAGTAACAATCTGCCTTTCAGAGATAAATCCCTTTGCAACCATACACTGATTCAATTTGTTTTGAAATTTGTTTAATGATTGGAGAAAATTTTAATGGACATCTCACTTTCTGATCTTTAGAGATAAGAATACCTAAATATGTAACTTCTTCCTTGTTCAGAATGTTGCAAATAATGCGTACATTATCATCTTTAATGGTAACGGTTCACATTTATTTATATTTAAATGTGTTAATTACATGAATGGCGAGATGTACTGCTGTTGTCCAGCAATATTGTACCATTCAGAAACGTCAGAAAGGAGGTGAAGCCGCAGCTTTTACACTGGAAGTATATTTACCATTGTAAATTTGCATTTGCAAGTTTAGTCTTTATAAATAAGTACTCCTAGCTGAAACAAATCCAGCCTACAACAATCCTGCAATAAATCAGACCTTCATGCGGTGATGGAAGAAGTATTCGGATCCTTGTAAAAGTACTTATACCACAGTGTGAAAATACTCCACTACAATTAAAAGTCCTGTATTCAAAACCTTATACTAAAGTAAAAGTATGTGAGTATTATCAGTTCAGTTCAGTACATTCTTAAATTATCAAAAGTAAAAGTACTCATTCTGCTGTAAAATGGTGCCTGTCAGTGTTTAACTATTATGTATGATGTTTTTGAATTAATATTATTGTTGCATTAATGTGTATGTTGCTGTAGATGTTTGAGGGTTGAGCTCATGCATTTAATTCCTTTATGTACTGTTGGGTCCACAACAATGCATCACATTCTATCATCATCATATGTTTGTAGGTGCAATCCTGTGCGATCCACATATCTGTAAAAAGCCAACTTTTCATGACCTCAGAAAAAAAGCAGTTTTCAGCTTTGTGACTGCATTTTCCAGCTGATCCACAGTGTCTTTGTTTTTTTTGTTTGTTTTTTAATAAGTAGGATCATTTTCTCAACCCATAACACTTATTCCTTCCGTTTATCTAAAAAATTCTAATCCATTAACTTTGGAGATACATGGTTTGGAAGGGTAATATTGTAATCTGAAAAGTAATAGTTGTCTGACAAATGTAGAGGAGTAAAAAGTACGATATTTGTCTCAGAGATGTAGTGGAGTTGAAGTATTGAGTTACATAAAAATGTAAATGCATTCCAAATAAATTCAAATATGTACTTAATACAATACTTGTGGAAATCTACTTGGGTTATAGGATTCTAAGGTTCAGTTTTTGTTGAAACTGTTTTAGAGAGGCATGACTGTTATTGCCTGTCAGCTTTGATGTATACTGTTGGGTGAACTTGACCAATTGAAGAATAGTCATGTTGGGCTCCAGCTCCTTTCATTCTTTTCAAATCTTGTGAAATGTTAAAATGTACTAAAGCAGTGCAACACAACACATAAAAAGTTATTTAATTATTTATAATAATTACAAATTAAAACTTATAAGTGGATGAAGCTGTGAACATGGTTTCAAGAGTAAAAGATTCATGTGTTACAACACAATATGTGGTCTTGCTTCTGCTTACATTTTGAAAAGGAGTTGCAACACTATTACTTGTAAATTAGCAAATATTACATGCTTAAGCAAACCAACAGGCTTTTATTGGAGTAGACAAGCATTACAAAATCACCAGTTTCTTTCCCTCTTTTCTAGAAAATTGGCCATCTGACAAATGTTTTCATTATTTCATTCAAGACCATCCTGATGGCTGCACGGACCTTATAATGACCAAAGCACTTCCAACCTGCTGATAGCAATGATTAGATACTGAGCTCCCAGTTTCTCCTCCTAAAAAAGGACTCCAGGTATTTTCAGATAGACATGAGATTGGTGCTGCAGTACTTTTCTTTACATTTTGTGACTTGCACAAAAAATATGTTGGCCTGTGCTTTTGTATATCTTCACTCGATGCAACTCTGTTATCTTTCTCCACTTTAGTGCAGTATTGTGAAAACACCTCTTTTATTAGCACCAGACTCTAAATTAATCTCTTTGAAGCTGGATCACCATCTGCTGTCCAGATTCACACTCTTTTTTTTTTCTCCTTCTGGTTAACTGTTGAAAGAGCAGCCTGTAACTACACAGCTTCCATCAAACTGTGTCTAAATAATGAATGCTATTTAATTTAAATCTGGATCTTTGGATAGGGAATTGACAGTAACATTGTCATCCTAACATTACAAAGCTCCAGAAACACAACCCTAAACAAACCAATTCATGCTTCTCCACTTTGATTTGCTTTTATCAAGATAAATCACAAGCCTTCTGTCCTGCCTGTGTGATGTGCTATAATGCGAGTAAATGGAAGCTGTCTCTTACCACACTAGAGGGACCCAGAGTGACACACTTTGGTAAAAGGCTCCTTTTGCACATGGTTCTGCATTCATTTGCAGTGAGAATACATCAGTATTCTCCTCCATTTCATGTTTTCACTTCATTGAATTGAAAATGAATATGAAAAAGCCTTTAGAAATAAAACCTTGACAATTATCGGTGGTGTTTTATTATTTTTTTTATTCCCTGTATCTACTCAGATGACTGTACACATGCAGCGAGCAAACAATGCTTTCCCTTGATCTTGGATCTGGCCCCGTAAAACAAGGTCAATTAGCGCTGAATGAATAAAGACGAAGAGCCACAGCTGTCACACCCTCAGCCAGTGTGTGTGT